TAATCAAATCACTCATCGAATCACATAATCGGTCTTTTTTTTTCTTTATTGAATTTCAAATTTATTTTAAAAAGATATTCAAATTGATTGTTTACGTTTCTTTAATAAAAAATCCAGCAATATATAAAAATTCTTTTCGTAAACTCGAAATAAATTGTCTAATAATAGTTGGTTTTATTTGTTCAATTATTGAAAATTGTCTTGCTTGAAAACATTCTGCTAAAATAAATTCTAACCAAATAATAATATCTTCTTTAATAAAATTTCTATCCAATTGTTCAATTATATTAATTGATTGTTTATTTTTTTGTTTAATAGCAAGATTTTTCATTATTTCAGTTAATTGTTCAATTATTTGATAAATATTATCTTTTTCAATAACAGATTGACCACATTGAATTAATGATGAACGAAATTTCATTACATTTAATGATATTGATTTATTTGAATAATTTTCAATATGAATATAACGATAATGAAATACTTGACTTAATAGTAAAAATAATATTAAAAATAAAAATAAACATAATGTTGAATAACATAATAAAGTACGACGATGAGATTGACGTTTTATATAATCTGATCCTCGATTATCATTTAACATCAGTTTTTATTAAGAAAATATTCATTTTTATTTTATCGAATAAGAAAAAAGAAATCAATGGCGCTTCGATATTAACAAACTAAAATTCATTTATCTTTAAATTGAGCAAATATTTGATATCTTTTCTCAACTTATCAAATCTTTTTCTTTGTTAATCAATCAGCAGAAATATTTGTCAGATTAAAATACGACTTCATTGTAGAACAATGAAAGCGTTTTGTTCAAAGATAAATCTCAAGCAGTACTCTCAGTCAAACTCACTAAATTTGTCACAACACTACTTATCATTACACATTTATTACTAATATGCGAACCTTATTTTATCAAATGTTGTCACAGTTTATATATGTTTATTAGATATAAACATTATTTTAGAAAAGAAAGTTTTCATTCAGTATTAAACATGGACCTTACTATTCTCTTTTCTTTGATGAATGCAATTTTTTTTTAAATATGGTACAATGAAAAATTTATTCATTAGTAGTAGTCACAACAAGATGTGAATTGAAAAGTTTCATTCTTCAGTTGCACAAGATTACTATCAGAACTATTTAAAAAATTGAAATAAATATTATTTGACTATTATCATAATCGATTTTTATCGAATTTAATAAAAGTTTTTTCAGTAACATGTTGAATATCTTTTATAGAGTATTTTTTATTAGTTGGTTCATTATTTGTTTTTGCTTAATCATTTGATTAAATTCATGCAGAAAGTCATATATGAATATTATCAGATTTATTATATGCTCTACCAATATCTTTACAATTAATTTATTTTTATTTCTTAAATACTTAAATGGACATTTTTTTCCATAAATAATGATCATTGAAATATATTAAATATTGATAAAAAAAAACTTCTTGTGAAGCATGATATATTTTCAATGAACAAAATCCAAATTATATTCTATCGATTAGATTTCTTATCTATAAATGGTTGATCAACAAAATATTTTTTTTTAATTGTTGATCATTTATTTTTCAAACTGATAACAAGATAAAACATATTAATTCAATGTGAAATTTTATATAATAAAAAACCATGCAACATACGTCATTGAAATTTCGAACCAATTTTTCGTCTTTCTTGTTATAAAAAAAAACTTCGAATTGTGATGTTTTTCTTCTCTGCAAAAAAAGCCTTTTGAGATTGTACTAGAACCAGGATGTGGGTGTAAGGGTTTGGGTGAACATTTTGACATTGTCCAAACACACATTACAACTACACATACACACATCCACACCTATACGCACACTCACATCCTAGTTCTAGTACAAGAATAATAAACTACTAAAAAATAATGAGCTTTTTTCAGATGTTGCCAAGACAAAATTCGGATTTGATCTTAGACAATCAAACGATCAATCGATTTGTTTCATCTAGAACAAAATGCCATAGTCTATGTTTCAAAATAGTGAAAAAATCAGGGCGATATCTTTTATTGTTTGAGAATAATAAAGAATTTAAAATGGGGAGTTACTTTTCAATCATTGTGTATACTCAATGTTTTTGAATTCTAATAAACATCCTTTCCATTACTAGTGTATCCTACCGAAAACTTGTGTGTTTTTATTTTTTGTATTGTTATAATAGATTGTATTGGTGTTTATAAGGTATAATATTTGAAATATACATTTATTATTATTCCGAAAAAATATTTCAAGAAACAATAAAAAGTCTAAAACTATCTGTTTTTTATCAAGGAAAATACGGATCATATGTGAAAATAATATAGAATTAAACATGCGATTATATACAATCATTGATACGGAGGTCAACGCCAGTATGCAATTCTTCATACGATAATAGATGAAAAATAAGAAGTCATGTTTCGTTGTATATATACGACTCAACGATAGAAGGTTTAATTGTGAAGCGCAGTTATATGACAAACGACGATTGTTTATCACATCGTACATGAACGTTTGCAAGTATCGTGTGATCATTCTGTGTTCACCTTAGATTATTTTAAAAAATGACGTATGAGGAAATTCTCTTACGTAAAAGTACAAAGAAAAATAAACTTTAACTCTGTTATCATCACGTCACAAACAAGTGTATTTTATCGATATCAAAACAGTTTATAAAAAGAAAAGAAAGAGGTGATGAAGTACAAACATATTCTGAATTTGTCAGATATAGAACAGTCTCGCAGACATGACTATTTATTTAATACTTTTTTATTTTATCAATAGTTGAAAATAGATTTGCTATATTTGTCTTCCTCTTATTTTAATAGAGACATTTTAGTCAAAAGACAACTGTTTAATCCATTAGAATAAAAAGTTGTCGTTTACCTTGATATTTATCAATACAGTAAATATATTTTTTTTGCATACATTCTTTACTAGGTCATTGAACATTTGTCTAGAATAAAACGAAGATTCGATTTTTTTTTTATTTGAAGTTGATTTGTATATGAGTCATGAATAAAAAAAAAAAAGGTTCGTTTTTTTCTTCATTAATAGGACATATTCAGTTAACAAATACAATTCAATTTCTGATCGAAGAATTATCTTCCGAGAAAAATATTTTATATCGTCATTTTGTTCATTATTTTATATATGAAAAATCATGTCGAATAAACGCATTTATAAGGTAACTTTTGTTTTATGATTGATTATTTCATAAATGAGATCATTCTATAATAGATTCGTCGAGGAACTCACATTCCAGAAGCAACTGAAACAAAAGCTGGTACAATAATAGAAATAAAAGAAGTCATTTATTGAATACATTTTTTTTTTGTAAATAAAAATGAAATCGTTTATATCCATGTAGGAAAAAGACCATCATGAATGGGATCGTCCACGTGAATTTGTATTTTCATTAATTTCAAATTCTGTTGGTCTTGGAAATGTTTGGCGTTTTCCATATTTAGCTGCTAAAAATGGTGGAGGTTCGTTTTATTTTCTATGTCATTTTTTTGTTCTTCATTCTTAATTGATTTAATTCTTTATAAAGGTGCATTTTTAATACCATATTTTATATTATATTTTTTAATTGGTGCACCAATTTATTATCTTGAATTAGCACTTGGTCAATTTTCTAGTCGAGGTCCAGCTACTGCATTTATACTTGCTAAAGGATGGCAAGGTAAATATAATATTTAAAAACAATAAAATTTAAATGATTATTTATTAAAGGTGTTGGATTTGCAATGATAATAAATAGTGTACTTTGTATGTTCTATTATAATGTAATTATAAGTTGGGCTTTATTTTATTTTATTGCATCATTTCGAACAACACTTTTATGGAAAAATTGTGGACATTGGTGGAATGATGAAAGATGTTTTGTTCCTAGTATTGGTAGTTCACCATTTACAATTAATGGAACAATGTATAATTGTACTGAATCACAATTCTTTAATAATACAAAATATTCATGTCAACCAATTAATGCAAAAGATCGAGTTACATCTACAGAACAATTCTTTTTGTAAGTTGAAAAATAGAGAAAATCAATTTTTGAGTAATTATTATTTTTAGTCAATTACTTTTGAATAAGAGTAAAAGATTTGAAGATTTTGGTATACCTCAAGTATATCCTGCTCTTTCATTATTAGTTGCTTGGATTATTGTTGGTGCATGTATTATTCGTGGTGTTAAATCTTCTGGAAAAGTTTCTCATTTCTTTTATTTTTTTTAAAAATCTTTTTATATTAATTATTTAATTTTAGGTGGCATATTTTACAGCTATTTTTCCATATATTGTTCTTCTTGTATTAATTATTCAAAGTTCATTATTAAATGGAGCTGTTGAAGGAATCAAGTATTATGTTATACCACAATGGGAACTTGTTGCAAAATTTAAAGTAGAGATATATTCGTAGAATTTGTTTTTAACATTTCATGCTTTATATTCAGATAAAAATTAACTTACTAAACAAGATTTTTTTCAACGGAAATGATCTCTGTTTTTTTTTTCATGATTGAAATATCCTAGATAAAGATAAATTACACGATTATACAGATGATATTTGATAATATATTCTAAAATATAATGCACAATTTTCATTAAAATATATTTTAAAGACAACAAATATCATTAAATCTAAAAATTTGATTATGTAAAGTAACGATCAAATTCATAGATACAATAGAATTTGTAGAGTCTACTTTCTTCTCTCTTTGATTATTTCAAACTCTCAAAAAGAAAAAGAGTAATTCCGTTCTAGATAAAACTTTGACAATAGTTAAAGCAAGGAAAATTAAGATTTTCATGTTTCGAGAAGTCATTTTTGCAGAGAAATTTTAACATATTTTGTAAAATTTATCTACTTTCATAGTCATACTTGAGACTGAAACGAGGAGAATATTTTGTTCTCCGCCTCGTCATATCTCGACCCAATGTCTCACCCCGTTTTGACCTCTGAGTTATATAATTAAGAGAAACTTGACAAGTATGATAAGTTTAGAAAACTCGTGTTTTGCATTACAGTACATAAAGAAAATTTCTTTTAATTTAATAACTATCGAATAGTCGGCTGTTATGGATGCAATAATGTCGATAATTGTAGGAAATATCTCAAGATATCATATTATATAATTAGCTAGAAATTCATTTTTGTTTTTGTTAAAAAGACATGTGAAAAATAAAAGAAAAAAATATATTTTATAATAGACTTGGCAAGCAGCTGCTTCTCAAGTATTTTTCTCACTTGGTCTTAGTTTTGGTTCATTAATGGCTTATTCAGCATCAAATACATTTAAAAATAATTTTTTCCAGTTAGTTATTTCTCTTGATTTTTATTGAAATTTAATCTAATTTCTATTAGACAAATGTGTATTGTTGTATCATGTGATTGTCTTACTGGTGTATTTGCTGGTTTTACTGTATTTGCCACGATTGGATATTTAGCAAAAGAATTAAATGAACCAGTTTCAAAATATGCTGATTCATCTGGTCCTGGTTTAGCATTTATAACATATCCAGAAGCTATTGCACATATGCCAGCTAGTTCATTTTTCTCAGTTCTTTTTTTTTTAATGTT